TTTTTAATATAAGATTTTTGAGGATAGGTGTGATAGTGACTATAGATAGATTGTGACTATATAGGATAGATTTTAATAATAAAGTGTTTTGAACATTCAACTGGTGTGACTATATAGTAGAATGTGACTATAACGGGAGTGACTATAGAGGGAGTTGACTGTATTACAAATCGTAAAATTACGAAGCTTTGCATATCGTAATATTTCGAAATATTTTAAAAAGTTACAAAATATTAAGCTTACGCAAACTTGCGGCGGGTCTGGAAGCTTACGAAATATTATGATGTGTAAACTTGCGCAACTTTTCACACTATATAATTTCCTGATGTAAGGTTGCTTGTCTAAACCTCTTCAAAATCCTATGATTAGTTTCGTCAAAATTTTACTATAGATTTATTATAGTTTCGGCAGAGTTTCAGCAGTTTCGGCATTTATAATAAGTTTCGGCAGTTTCGCCTTTCTCCAAAGTTTCACCAGTTTTTTAATATAACTTTAATATAGTTTTGGCAGAATTTCGCTTTTTGGCGAAATGCCATCTTGCCTAAATCCCTAGGTTTCAGCAAGCAACCTTAGGAAGACCAGAAGGAACGCTGGGTACAGAGTTTGAGGCAGGAACAGAGGGCAAAGTTATATCAACATTCATATCATCAGCAGAGACGGTACGTGAACATTTATTAGACGCGCTAGCAGCATTATTGGAAGATAAAGGCCAGTCTCCAGAAGGAGATAAAATTTCAGGATGTGGTAGTGGCAGAATATCCAGGTTAATAACAGAAAGAGCTGGAGGTGTAGTTATAGTTTGTAAGTTCAGTAAAAAGGAAAGCAACTAAAGAAATTTTTAATTAATTAGTGAGAACTTAGAAAATTTTGAGCGAAAATTTCAAGAAAAAATTTTATTAGTATTTTTAAAAATCGGAGAAAGAGTTGCGTAGATCCTTACAACTCACATTTAAAATATAGTGCAGAACCTTTATACTCAACTACTTATGTATAGTAACAATTGATTGATTATAAATTCCTAAAAAAAAATTTTTTTATATTAAAGTAAAAAATTTAACCGATAATTTTTATAGATATGACCATTAGTTTTAAAAATTATCAGTTATTTTTTTTCTAAATTAAATTTTGGCTAAGTTTTAGCTGTTTAAAAATCTGTAATTTAAATATATTGATTAAATTTAGTCAAAATTGAGAATAGTTTAAATTTTTGTATTACAGGTTTTTTTAGCTACATTTAATGTACAGATTTTTTTTTTAATATGCCAAGAAAAAAATTTTAAACTGCAAAAAAAGATTTAATGAATAAGGTTGTTTAAACTTTAAATATAGGTCAATTTAATGTTATAAATAATAATTATATACCATCAAGTGAATATTTAAAAGACAATTCAGATGAATTTATAAATGAAAGAATTCAAAAACTAAGTAATTTTACTTTAATTTGGTCAAAAAATACATATAATAAAATACAAATCTCATCATTATATAAAATTCTAATTTCTGATTGGTTAATATATGTAACACATGATGCTTACATAATCTGAAAAAATTGAGACTTTTTTTTTATTTTATAAATCAATTCCTTTTTTATAAAATTAAAATCCAATCATAAAATCAAATTTTATTTAAATTTTTTTAAGTTCCTATTATAAAGGTTCTGCATCGTACTAACAGTCATACTTTATTAATTTTTATGCGCACTCAGAACATATATAAGAGATAACAAACATAAGAAAAAATAAAAATAAAATAGTCGCACAAAAAAGTACATATAGAGAAGAAAACTAAACTATAAATTCCTTAATCGTAATCACAAATAGCAAAATTTCAGATCAACTACCCAGGTCTAAACGATCTCAACTCACGATAACGAAGGCTAACATACAAGTTCAGACAAGGACTGTTCAACTACTTTGACGATCCCAGCAGATAATAAAATCCTAGAAAGGCCGGGGTCGCAAATTTGTAGTAAGGAAGGAAGCATATCGGCTAAGGAAGAGTAACGCATATTAGCTATAAGAAGAAATTTATTAGAAAATAACACTATATAAATACCATGCAGAAACCTAATATTCTGCGAGTAAATACAAGAAATCCAGCATATATTTCAAATAAATACGCAAAGCGAATTATTTAATCATAAATGAAAGGATGAAGACAAAATAATCTATCATAAAATTTAAAATCCGCAGACGAAAAGGAAGGAGGAACTAAGACCACTCTAAAACCCGAAAATCGTACAAAAAATTTCTAAAATGACTGACGTCCATAAGTGACCCTTAAGTTGAGAAAGAAGGCAAAGGCAAAGGAACAGGAAGTTGTTTTAAAAAGATCTCAGTTAAATCCAAATTAAACGAGAGAGGCCGTATATAGAGCGGAATAAAGGAGAAATAAACTGAACAGAAAAATAACTCTATCCATTCAATTTCATAATATATTAAAGTGTCATCATCAAAAGACAGGAAAGAAGATTCATCATCAGAATCTGAAAATTTATCGATAGAACTGGAAGAAGACCAAATGCAGCATACATTGTGCCCATAAATTCATCCATTCTTAGGCCATCCTCAATTAATTCATCTTCATCAACATTAGGATCGAGGTAATTATTCCAATTAATAGCCAGAGAAATAATATCACTAAAAAAATTATCTGAAGAACCCATATTTTTAAAGGAACTATCTAAATGATCTACATCATGCGGCAGAAAGAGTACTCTCAAATGAGTCATCAATAAAATGATCCGTAGATAGGCTAATTGGTGTAATAGGACACTAGTTGAAATAGGAATATTTGGCCTCTAAAAAATTCAGCCTAAATTTGGCCAATTTTTAACTAAATTAGTAATGATATACAATTCAATCTATATTCGACTCTTATTCGATCCTGCAGAATGATAGTTGAAATGCGTATAATAAAATTAAACTATATTCAACCTAACAGAATAATGGTCGAACTATAACTTTTTTTTTACAAAAAAATATAAAAAATAATGGCTGAATTGCATACTTTTTTATTCACTTTTCTAGATAAAATAGTGGTTATACTATATTAATAATACTAAATATGATAAAAAATAATTTGTTAAAAAATGTTTTGAAATTCGAATTGGTGTAAATACCAGTTCGAATGTTATATTAAATCAACGCAAATGAAACTTTCTATTTATAGGAATAACGGCTAAATATTCCCTGGCATTAGATCGATCCAATTTTTTGTATTTTACAGGTATAAATCGACCTAAAATATTGTGTATCAGAATTATATTGTCTCTACTGCTTAGGTAGAAACTATCTTCCCATAATTCGATGTTGCAAGTTTCGACATCATCATCAATACTGAAATGGAATTGAGATGCCAAATTTGCTGGTTTGTACCATTTGATGTAAGCCAATTTGTGTGTCAATTTACGGGAAGATAAATGAACGCTATGTTCGAAAAAAAATTGGATTTGACCTGAGTAAGTATCAACGCTATTCCCATCATGATTAATAAATTTAGCTAAGACAAATGAACTCTTAATATGTCGTGTTGCAGCAGCAGATCCAAAAGTTTCTGCACAGATTTGACATTTTCCATATCGATTCGCTCTATTGATAATGATCGTTGAATTGGGTAAATTTTCCATGAACGGTTTTCTGAATATAAAATCTACATATGTATTCTTGTAATATTCGATAAGTAAATTGTAGATTTGTTCCTCAAGATAAATATCTTTGGATTGCAATGCTAAAAATTTACCCAGAAATTTCTCACAACCAGTAATTGGTGATTCCGATATATTTCTAGAATTCATCAAAAATTGATACATTTCATCTGTTAGAAATTCAGAAAGAGAACCGACAAAAGGTCATTTATCGAGTAATTCGAGTCCTATTACTTCTGAACTTGAACTATTAATAATATCATTTATTTGCGCTTCGGTCATCAATTGACGCATTAGTTCAGGTTCGATTTGGCGGTGGCTATTAGGCAAAGATCCTAATAAATAATTTATTATTAATCTTTACTAAATGAAATAATATAATTCGAAAAATTGATACAATTAAATTTGAATTACCTAATAAGCCATTCATTTATTCAAAGCTAAAGCATCAGAATGAATACAGGGGTCCGTAATCGTAAGAGCACTCACATAGATGTAATGATAGGTGGAGGTTTGGCGTTATTTTTTCTTCGCCATAGCATTCTTTGATCAATTTAATTATCTTTACCAAAAGTTCATGAGCTTCTTTCATATCGTTAATCTCCACAATTCATCTAACTAAAATCATACAACTCTTATGAAATACGTAAGAATTTTGCGATCTTTAACCGGAAGATGATTCCATAAAGCAACAGTGGCATATATTAGGAAAAAGTTGCGTCATTGGTCAGCGGTAAAGCTAGAAACCCTTCACCACAATGGATTTTACCAGGAATTTGTCCCAAATCTGATGGTACTTTAAATTCGTCCATTTTCTTTTGAATTGATTGAAGATCTTTTTCTGTTAATACACCTTCGTCAATCCATATTCGTTTTGTTATCCATTTAGCGATTCCTAGAAAAAGACAATGCATCGGATCTACAACAACAAAACGAATCAGATCAAAATACGGCAATCTTAATATTTCAGACCACCTTACGCAATTCTCCTTAACGAATCTCTCTCTTTCTGCGTTAGATTTGAATAATCGCCATTCTAAAGCCTTTTGACGATGCTCGACTGGATCTTTCATGATAAACCAGTCGCTCATATCCGCCATACCACCAAAATTGCGATTATTGGCCCTTTTTTTTGCATCGATGGCATGATGCAAGGGTAGAGATGTATCCGCATAATTTTTAAGCTCCAGGAATATCTCACGAAGCAATTATTAATGCAGCTCAAATATCTTTGCCATTTGGACATTCATTAGTGCGATTAAGATTTACGTCTTCCCAAAATGATTCTAATTCCGTGATTATTGGTGAAAGGTAATGATTTACTCTATGTAATTAACCTCATTGGGCCCAGTAATATGCCGAGTATAAGCATATTTTCAGGCTTAAATCGAACATCTCGAGGTAGATTACATATTATTACGTATATTATACCTGTACTGTAAATTGTTCCTTCATACGGCTGAAATCAATCCAAATTTATCATTAATCCTAGATGAGTATCAGCCTTGTCCAGTCAGAAAAAGTTATTTGATCCTTGTTCATTTGATTCCTTAAGATTTTGCCAAATTTGCCCGTCGTATATGTTTGATAAAATATTATCAATTACTGAACGACAAGTCCAATGCCGCAATAATTCTTCAAATCCTGGTCACTTGAACATACTAGAAAGCTGCTGTTGTATACTCAAGACCAGATAAATTAATTCAGGAACAATTGATATACTATTATCTAGGGGTAGAGGGGGCCAACTTGTTTTGTTGTGTTACCTTGTATCACAATTATGAACTGTCCCCCCTGAAATTATACCGATCACATTATTCATTATATTGAAAAAAAAAATGTTGAGCCTAAAACTTTTAACATACAACGTTTTTAAAAGCCGATGTTCAAAAGTAGTTTAGTATAGTTGAAGACTATTTACTGCCAAAATTTTACAGTTATTTGTGCATTATTGGCTTTCTCGTCAGTTTAAGTAAAGCTTTAATATCTTATTCATGTATAATCTTAGTAACTTTGATAATAAACTCCACTTTATTTAAAATTTATCTATATTTATTATTTATGTTTTCGTTATTCCATAAAAATAACCCTTCTTTTAAGAGCTTCTTCGGTAAATGGTGTGGAATTTTTTAAGTTATAAATAATTATAGGCACCAATTTTTGTTTTCTTTTATATGGCGTTGAAATTCCAAATGCCCAAATTATCCACCATATGGGCCGATTCAACGCATAAAATGGATTTGGCCAACATTATCGGATATTTTAAGGGAAATTTGGCTAACATTACGGTATTTTCGGCCAAAATTACAGCATGTCTAACAGGTGGACAACAGGTTTTTGAGGAGACGATAGATGATTATTATTATAACTTTATACTATCTTGCCAAAAATAATAATTTTGTAACTAAAGTAAATTTGTTAAGCTTTACAATTATTTTTATATAGAAAAAAAATACTTTATTGAAATTTTTTAACAAAAATTTTAATAAATAACAAATTTACTACTTAATGCATCAAATCGGCCCATATGAATAATTCTGAAACTAAAAATAATTTAGAAAATGAGTCTTCTGCTCCTTCAAGTTGTGCCCATACTCAAAATTGTTCTAAAACATGAGCAGGATCGGTAGGTAAATTTGCCTTCTTCATAAGGGGCTTTTTATTTTCTGTTGTTAGGTTGTTTGAGCGCATCGTTTTCAGGCTTTCTTTTAAACTTGCTGTACCTTTTTCCAGAATGTAATTATTAACGTCTCTCCATGTTTTTTGTCGACTTTTCATATAGATAGTGACGCATCTATCATAAATAAACCCAAATTATTCATCTTCTAATTCAACACCAGTAATATTATTTGATTTCAATGTTGTAATAAACATTTGATTTAGAGATAAGTTAGCAAGAAGACTATTTTTCACATAACACAGGATATTTGATCCTAATTCATTATGTTTCTCGAACAGTTCAATTATTAAAGATTCCAAATAATACATGAACTGAGTAAATTCGGGTCTAGGTATAATGTTAGTGATCTGTGATTTTGTTTCTGGCATATATTCAACCTTTTCTTCGCAGTGAGCTTTAAGTAAAGTATGCATAACTTGAAATTTTGGATGGGAATTCATTACGTGATCTCTTTTGAGCAATTTGAAGAGTACCCAACCAATAATATAAGAAAATTTTAGTGATTCTGCCTGGTTCAAAGTAATAACTTTAGGAATCAAGGTAGGGTCTGCATGTTCTTGTATGTTTTTATTTTTACGAAAATTTTCCTTAAATGTTTCTTCTATCACTTCGTGGATTAGGAAGTAGGCAACTAGTCTTCGTGTAGCAGAATGATTTTGGGAAATAATTTCTTGAAATTCTGAGAACCAAATGCCAGAACATAGGTAGTTATTCAGGCTAATCTCCAAGTGAGAAACCCACACAGTCATCCAAAGACTTCCTTTTTTATTGGGAATTGATTTCAAAGCAATATCTTTAATGTTTTTTTTCCATTTTTCCAATAGAGAAATAATTCTATCATCGTAAAGGCATAAATCAAAGAGCTGTTGACGTTCTTTTTGAAGTAATAAAATTGTTTGATTTTGTTGGTTAACTTCATTACTGAAAGATGATGGCGGAGTTTCAATTTTTCCCATAAACAGATCATTCATAAGAAGATTTTCAAAGATTTGCCATGTAAATGGAGATATGCTGGATAATCGGATAAGATGACTAGATAAAGTAGGGTGTATATTTTTATCCTTCGATATCTTTGACATTTTTTTTCTGTAATCACTTTTCAAAACAATTATTAATAATTTTATTTATTTAAATATAAAAAAGAATGATTTAAACAGATTTAATTTATAAAAATACCTACTATCAAGTAAGACAATTAAGTTCCATTCAGGCATGATTTGATTTTCCATAGTTAAGGCTTTAAATTTCAGTAGTTATCTTTGCGGTAAACTGAAATTTGTTTAATGCATGTCCATATCCTTTTAATGTTTGCGTGGAGGAATCTCCTCCAAGCTGTCGAATTGTGCCAAATAGTCCTTCTAACATATCCTGTGATATCCTGCGTGGTTCAATTATTGAATTTGGATACAATACAAAAATCCTCTCAACCATTCCCAAAAAACCTTAAATAGATAAGAGTAAATCGAATTGACATTGTGGGGAGATCCAGTTTATTTTGCTAGCTTTTTGCTTATCTCTAATCACAAACCAATCACGTATTTCTTTTAGAGTTTGAATACGAGAATCATTAAGACCTTCCAATGGTTTTTTGCTATGAAATATTTGCCGGTAAAGGTATGCATAATTGATAAATTCCTAATAAAAATTCATAATATTATTATACATCAAATTTTATAATCGATATTAATTTTATCTTTAATATTAAATATTTTTACTTACTCTTGTTCCAGCTGATATTTCTTTCAGTTTATCAATTGTTCTCATTGCAACTATAACATCCTTTGATAAAGTCTGTTTAGCGAGATCAACTCTCATTTTGCTCCAAGATGTAAGCCAAACATGACGCTTTGTAAGTCTTGTAATTTTTGCTGTTGAATTTTGTACAGTATAATCATAAACACCTTGAATATGACACCAACTAACTTCATTTCCATCTATCATAATTTCTCTAATACTTTGATTTCGGCTTTCTCCAATATGACTTTTTGAAAGATTGTTTCGAAGTTTCTTAAAAACGTGTGTAGGATCACTAATGAAAACCCATAGTGTACCGGTAATTGGGTTGATTATTTTATAATTTGTCCAATATGTTTGGGTATCATAAAGGGGCCTAATGTACATATTTTGAGATATTTTTACCACATTCCATTCTTCTTTACTAGACAAAATTGTAACAATAAAAGTTTGTGTTTCAGAATCAATATTCGTGATAATAGCTGTATGCCATTTATTATCCTTCAGACTTTTAAATTCTCAGAAATCATTAATATTCCAATTTTTTTTAGTAGTCATTGGTTGCCTTAATGAGTTATGATTAACTTGAAATTCATTAGAAAAGGATGGGTCCAATAAACACACTGCAAATTTACTACGATCAAGGTTAGTTGATATAATTCTTGCTCGTTCATAATTGTTTTTACCAATATTAACTTCAACAATATCTCCCGCAGACTAGAATGAAGCCCACCAGTCAAAACTTTTGATATGATTCCTATTTTCTCCAGCTTCATCACAAACAGATCCACAAGTATGTATACTGATACATTCAAGATTAACCGCGAGATGAAAAAGAATTTTATTAATTTCATGTGCAGTAAGAGTATTAATTCCATAATATGCTATAGGATATGCAAAGTTACAAGTAGCTGAATGCCAAACAATTTGATGTACTTGTGTTGCTAGATTCTGATCATAATCCTTTAAATTAGTAGGTAAACTACTATTATTGACTGTTTGCAATTCCTTTTCACATTGCATTGCAAATGATTGTAATTCTTCTTTTTCATTTTCAAAATCCAAATATCCAACATAACAATTATCTCGCTGGCTCCAAAGTAAGCCTATTATTAATATCAATTCTAATTAATTCTTTAAAACGATTTTTTAATAAGTATTTATTAGGGTAAATAACAAACCTTTTTGTATTTTAAATGAATCATGAGAGAAAAATCCAATTCGACCATAATTACCAATATTTTCTATAGACATTTTTTCCAGAATATGACGAGCAGTTTTATCTTGCCATCCTGAATGTTGTTGACTTTCATTTATATAGGTTTTTATTAAAGATATTGAAGGTAATCGCATAATACCTTTCATTGCTTCGTAAGCAACATGACCTGCACGGCTATATACAGAAATAGCCCATCGCATAAACCTAGAGAATTATAAGTGTCATTAATAAATTTTATTTTATTTAATCTTTTTTAGTAGATATACTTACATTGGGTGATATCTTACTCCATTTGCTTTTCCACTTTGAACTCTAATTAATTCCTGAAAAATTGGATTAAGAGAAGAAAGATCAATTTCATTTTTAACAACCTTTCTAGATATATCTTGAGCAATTTGATACAGCTCTTCCGATACTTTTTCTCCTTCTTCTTCCACTTTTTGTTTAATTCGATTTTGCAAGGTATGTATAGTTTGATTCTGATTTGCAATTTTCTTTAAAAGTTGCATTAACGTTAATTGCTTATATACATTTTTTATTTAATATCTTATTCTATAAATAAATACCTTTCTTTGAAATTGAACTTTTTTAGATAAAATTTCCTGGAAAGTATGCGCAACTTTAACTGGTAAATCATTCATAAGATTTCAATTTTTGATTTTTATTAACGTGTCTTTCAATTTTTTACAATTTTCACATATATTTACTTCAGCTACTAACAAATAACAGTCCAATCTTCTATAGGCTTCATGAGGTTGACTTCGATTCTCTAAAATTGCAAAGGGTTCATGAAAATTATTGGAATTTTTTTGATTTCTCACAAGATGAGTTCCTTAAAGCTGAACTACTTTTTCAAACCCTAAAATACAAAAAAAAAACTTTAAATCATAATTAATTAAAAATGAAAAAAAGTAATTAAATCAATACCTTCAGTCTTTTGACCTGTGCATATTTTTGCTACAGATATGTAACAAATTGTTTTCTCTATTTCTGAAAGGGTTCGTTCAGTTGCAATTCCTATTTCTATTCCATTTATTTTTTTTACACGTTTTTCCAATATATTTAGTTCGTAAAAGATTAAGTTTTCTTGCCACTTAATAATTAAATACTTTTCTATTTTCTGTTCTTTTCCAAAAAATATAACACTAATTCCTTCAACATTTTCTCTTATCCTTATATCAAAAAACTCGTGTCTTGATGTTTTAAATAATTTTATCAATAATGTAACTTCTGCTATATTTGCAGAATTATAATTTTTCCAATATGGAGTTTGCCTTGTTCTTAATAATGAAGCTAAATTAGAACCAGAAGAGTTTGGTTCAAAAAAAATTGTAGCAAGTGCTGAACGTTCGCCACTAAATATTTTTTTAATTTTGAGAAATTTGATCCAAGAAGCAAAAGTATCAAATTTTTCATTAGTTTTTTTATCAAAAACATAAAAAGTTCTGTCTTGCTTGTCGTAAATTAAAAGTCCCTCTCTATACTGTGCTTTTCTATAAAAAAAATAAACTGGTTTGCCATTAAATTCTGGTCGAAGATTATATAATTCTTGAAGGGCTTCGGGATGCTTATTTTTTTTTAGTATTTGATAGTTAGTACAGTCACTTAATACACGTTTCTAAAGGCATAAAAAGGGTTAAATTAATAAATATTTCAATTAAAGAGGCTTAAAATTTACTTTTTTTACCATAATTACGGTAATAAATTTGCCGATGGAAATTTTTTCTTTTGAGAAAAGCGCGTTTAAAATTTAAAGAACTTGTATGTGTTAAGAAAGATCTGATAGTCATCATATTTTAAGAGATGTCACATTTACTTAGTAAATTTTTTTAATTGCAAGGGTATATTGTTCGTAAATCACTATATTCTTATAGTAAAGTATATGGATTTTATATGTAGGACAGTTTTATTGATCGAATTTATTATTGTGTAACTATCAGTTGGCCCCCTCTACCCCTTGCTATTATTTAAAGAAATTTTCTTTCTTAAAGGAGTTTGACATTGCTTTAATCTCTTTGTAGCCGAATTTGGAAATTCGACATGGCTGCATTTCATAATAGTATTATCATCATTTGATATTATATCCTCTTTTTTGTATAATTTGTGGCATTTTTGGCAAGCTGCAAATTGCGTAAATCGATCGATAAGTCCTAACGCT